GGGGGGAGACAGGGAGGCCCTTTCTGCACGCCAGGCCGGTTTTAATGAATGAAGCATCCACAGTGGTGGCATGGCCATCTTGACATTCCATTAGTTGGGCCTATCCTTTATGTTTCACATTTTCCAGATGAGTTATTACAGCCACTGCCTTCTGAATGTCCTTAGGAGTGGAACTGCGTAGTTAGGGGGTCACAGTCCACAAAGCCATCCTCATTTCTGATACTAATGACAAGTTTGGGGATCCCCAAGACCACCCTTAGCATCGATAATTCACTGGACACTCACAGAACTCACTGGAAGCTGTTACCCTCATGTTTATGGTTTATCACAGCTAAAGGATACAGAGTAACCACCCCCAGCCGTGGGACCTCGGGCAGGTCCCTCCCCGCCTCCCCCTCCTGCCTCGGTTTCTCTCTACGCCCGGGTCACAGCGGTGGCTGCTGCGTCTGGCTTTCCTGAGGATGAGGAGCTGATGCGCGGAGCTCAGCTCGGCGTTCGTCACCACGTGGTCACTCCCTCCCTACAGCCTCTGGTTCTAACCCAGACTCCCTGTCAAGGGCCCTGACCCACTGCACGCCGTTCGCAGATCCTCTGGTGGGGGACCCGTGTGCATGTCCCCTGGGGCGCTGCTGGGTCCTGGGGTGAAGGAACAGACACCCCTACACAGAGGACAGAGAGCGCGGGGTGCTGTAGCTCAGCAGCTGCAGGCTCTTCCGGGGAGGAGACGGCAGCAGCGCCGGCCCGTCCGTCCCGTCCACATCGTTGCCGTCGCCATCGCCAGTGTCGTCCGGAAGCTTCAGCGATGACCCTCCCTCCTCACAGCCAGCCTCGCGGCGGCTGCTCTGGCACTCACTAATGGACCTCATCTGCCTGGGGTGCAGGGGATGCCAGAGAAGGTGCTTCTGAGGGGTGCAGCCCCCCAATGTCGCCCCAAAAAGCTCTGGGGAGACATCACCACCCAGGAGGACCAGCCCCATCCACAGCTCCTCCCTGAAGCCACCACTGATGTAAACAAAACGTAAACCGTGTGCCTGCCAGCCTCACATGTGCTTGACATGGTGATGACACAAGTGTCCCACCCTGCCCCCAGCTGCTTGGCACCTGTGTATGCAAATCAACCCACCATCTTTGTTGGGTTAATTTGCATACTCACTCCTGATTGGCTGGTGGGCATTGCGGAGGGATGGTCAGTTTACATGTTTCTCTTTTATTATATAGGATGGGAGGAGATAGGAAAACAAATAAACGAATAAATTCTACAGTATATTGGGAA